TCCGAAGCCGATTGGCTGAAGCCCACGGCGTGTCGCGCCGCGCAGAGTCCATCGGGATTCGTAGTTCGCAGCTGGCTGACGTCGGGTTGCCTTCAGAAGTGGCCGCGGGGCTTGCCGGGATTTGTAGTAGTTAGAAGCCCCGGCAACCGGCTGCTGCCCAGAAGGCTGGCCGCCGCGTCGCGGTTACTAAGGAGTGGAGAAGGTAGTGGCAGGCGCCACCGTGGAGCGACTCCGAAATCCCCGTGAGGCTCGCAGGCGCGCATCCCGCCTGACCAGGAGGTCTACCCCTCCTACTCCTCGGAGGCGGAAGCGACGCCGGAGGCCGGTGCGGCTGGAAACTTAGTTTGCGTGAGGGGTTAGAGTCTCCCCCGCCCCAAAAGTAGAATTTCCGAAGGGGCGGCCGGAGCTCGTTCTTCATCCGTTTCTAGGCCTGTTAAAGCGCTTACCAGTTATTCTCACGGGTGACTGTCGTCTTAGCCCTTAGTAATGTTTTCGTGTTATAGAAAACTCATTCACTGATTACTGTCTGCCAGGCAGTGTCCTATGTGCATTTACTTATTTTTTATGTAAGTATAGTTGGTGTATAACAGTATATTAGTTTCCGGCGTATAATATAGTGATTCGACATTTATGTACCGCCGTACAATGTGATCACCACACTAAATCTAGTAATCATCTGTCACTGAGCAAACATCACAATATTATTGACTGTACTTTCCTTCACCTTTTTCACCTGTCCCCCTGGCTTCCTCCCCTCTGGCAGCCATCAGTTTGATCTCTATTTCTATGAGTCTGTTTTTGTTTTGTTTTGTTTGTTTTATTTTATATTTTTAGATTACACATAGAGTGAAATCATACTGTTTGTCTTTCTCTGACTTACTTCACTTAGCAACATACCTTCTAGGTTCCATCCATGTTGTCACAAATGACAAGAATTCATTCTTTTTTTTCTTTTATATACACATATATGTATTTTAAATGCCAGATGGCAAAATTTTATGGTTTTATTAACCCAAATACAATGTGAATGTAAGCCATTTATTCATTTTCTTCTCTGCGCACAGCCTGGCATTGGGGCTGGTGACTCTGGTGGCCAGCTGGGCTGCCCTTTCCACAGTGGCTTTGTGGTTGTGAGAGGAGACGCTGTGAGCAATCTCTGCAAAGTAAGATTTATTGGACATCAGTAGCACTCCAGGCTCCTTGATGTTGTGGACCAGTAACTTTCAGTAGCCACTGGGCAGCATGTGTTTTGTTTTCTTGTTTCTCCCATAACCAATGTTGGGCATCAAGATCTGGCCCTTGAATCTTCTGTGCACCCTATTGTCAGTGCCTCTGGGTGCCTGCCAGTTCTGCTTAATTTTGAGCTATCTGCCTGACTGGTGACAGATGAGCTTCTTGGTCCTCTTTTTGAAATCGTGGGTTTCATGAGGGGTCTGAGGGCAGCCATCTCTATAGGCAGCTCTGAAGAAGAGAGCTCATTCTCTTTTTATTGCTGAGTAATACTCCAGTGTGTGTGTACCACATCTTCTTTACATCCATTTAGTCCCCTGACAGCCCTGTCAGATGAGGAAAGTGAGGAACTTACCCAGGGCCAGATAGCATGTATCAGAACCTGATTTAGAAGCCAGGTGTTTTTTTAACATCAAAACCCATGGTGTGTTCCCTCTGCCTCTCCGCTTTTACAGTTTTAGGATGTAGTAGTATTCTAGATTTTTATTAATTCAGTTTTTTCCCACAAAAAAATTTTGAGCACCAACATTGCCCAGAACTGTACTAAGGATACAGAGGGATCAAGACAGATCTATTTCCTACTCTCATGGAATTCCTATTCTAGTGATCCAGAGTTATCTCATAATAGGATTGTACTATACTATGCTCTATTACATTGCATCACTTGTTTTCTTTCTATCCCCATAAACCCCTCATTAGTGTCCAAATGACTGAAGAGATATTTATTGAGTGTTTACTATGTAGCAGACTTGTGATTTATGCACTCTAGCCACACCTCATTGTCATAAAATTATTCTCCTGTCCCACCTTTCCATCTATGTCTCTATCTCTATCTCTACATCTGTATCAGCCTACTTCTGGGCTTTTTAATCCTATGGTATTTTACTAGGCCTTCGGTGAGACACATTTTGGAGCAGAAGGGTAATAGTAGAATATAATTAATGAGCAAGGTCAAGAGCTCTGAATGGCAGGCTAAGAAGGAGTATAATCTTTATTTTACAGGTGAAGAAACAAAAAAAAAAGGAAGTCAAGGGACTTTTCCCACGATCAAAGATTAAGTAAGTACTATGCCGACCAGAAGCAAGGTTCCTGTGTTCTATAAGTTACTTGAGCCTTCTCCAACAGTCATCACCTCTAACATTTCCCAGCCAGCTATATACTCATTCATTCATTCATTCATTCATTCACCAATCTGGCAGATAGGTGTGGTTGGTCACAAGAGAGATTTCTTAAAAGAGAAACTGACTGAATGGCTGTTGATCTTTCTCCATCTATCCATCCATTCATCTTCCCAACACATTTTTGGTGACTTCCAAGGTCCATGCTAGGCTCTGGGATTACATAGGTGAATAAGGTATCATAGGTCCCAGAGCCAGTGGGAAGTTGGTAAGGGGAGCAAACAATTAAAGTAATAAGTACTACACTAGAAATATGGGTTTTTGTGGGAACACATAGGAGGGGCCTCCAATTCTATTTGGGGTGGTCAAGGATTAGGAAATTCTGAGTGCCCTGTGTTGAACCAAAGAAGATATCAACATCACTCATTTTCCCCCACAAATAATTATGGAAAATGTTATATGCCAGGTGCTGTGTTAGGTGCTGGGGATAAAGAGATGAACAACATAGTGTCCTCTGGAAGAGCTTAGAGTCTAATTAGGGGCTTAGAAATATGTGTAAAAACTCTTGGACCCTGGAATACCATCGTATCCTCCACTTGGCTCTCACATGTTTATTGGGTGTTTCCTATGAGCATTCCAAGGGTGGAAGATACAGTAAATTGGACATGTGTCCAGACTCAGAGGTTCATAGACCACTGAAGAAGCCCCCTCAAGATTGTTAGTAATCCTATGAGGTAGAAGGCCTCCTTCCAGGAAAGAGATACAGAAGAGATACTCCAAGGTTTAGCCACAGAAGCAATTGTTTCCCACAGGAAGGTTCAGTAAAGGCTTTGTGGAAGAGGTGGCATCTGGACTGGATCTAGAAGCAGCTTTTATTTCCTTTCTATTTTTACCTTATTTAATTTTTATAACAATTATCTGAGGCACAGGTTTTTATCTTCACTTTATATGTGAGACATCTTGAGGCACAAAGAGTTAAACTAATCTGCTTAAGGTCACTCAGCTTAATGGCAAAAATTAGACTCAAATTTAAGCCTCCTATCTCCCAAATCATTGCCCTTCCTACTGCACCACTCTACTTTTCACATTTGTCACTTATAGGAGACATTTCCTCAGGACACCTGATCCCAACTTCCCACTCTGCTCCGTCCTTTTACTGAATCTCTTCCCAGATCCCTCATCCCAGGGCCCTACATTCTTCCCATGGCTTCCCTTCTGCTGGCCAGGGGCTTATAGGTTCCCAAACCTCTGTTGTCTCAAGTTGTCTGAAGCTGTCCCAAAGCAGATTTTGGAATGGCTGGGTGCCTTGAATGAAAAATCTCAAATCTCTCTAAGAGCTCAAGGTTTAAGAAATAAATATTTTATTAGAGACTTATTCCTAAAGAAAATTCTAGTTGAGCTAAACCTTAAAGGATGAAATTGGCTAGAAGAACAAGATGGAAAAGGTATTTTAGGCCAATGGAACACTAAGAACAACAGCAGGCAAGACAGAATGTGAATGGAATGTCTTAGGGATAGAAAATGATTCTGTGAGCCTGATGGGTAGGGCTGACTAGAGCTGGAAGGGTTAGGAATTGGGATGCCAGGGTCCTTCGAGATGAGGCGCAAGCATTCGGCCTTCATGCTCAGTGGGAATCCAGTTAGAGGACTGTTGCTGTATTGGGGCAGGGTTGGTGGGAGGAGGGAGGAAAGACTTAGTGAAAGCAGTGAGAGACAGAGAAAAGTACATCGATCAGTATTTCTGAGCAGTCTTCATGACTCAATGACCAGTGAATGGAATCACATTTCACCCGGCATTATTATTATTATTATTTTTAATCAGACCTCTCTTTCTAAAGCACAGCTTGGGTTATGGCTTTCCCCAGCTCAGATATCATCCATGGCTCTCAGTTACTTACAAGGTGAAACCTGAGCTCCTAGCCTGGCACTGAAGGCCCTTCAGGAGCAGACACCAACCATCCTTCCTGTCTAGCCTTATTGTCCAAGACTCCCAAACGCACATCCACTTCCTGGGTCAGATTGTTTCTTTCCTGCCCCAGGCATGCCTACCACCATGTGCTTAGTCCTGTGGCTTTTCTGTTTAGAATGCTTATCTTTCTATCAGTAAACTCAAGTCATCCCTCAAACCCTACTTACCAGTTCAAGTCTCATTATTTGCCTATCATCTTGCTTAGAATGTTAATCTCCCTCTTTCCTGAACTCAAAGAACTTTTCTAGTGAGCATTTAATATGTACCAGGCACTACCTTTCTAGCTTTATCCTTTTATCTGTCTATTAAGGTAGGTGTTATTACCCACATTTTACAGGTGAGGAACAGGCTTAGAGGGATAGAGTCTAACTTGCCCACTCACGGAGCAAGGAAAATCACAGCCAATATTCAAACCAGGTCTGCCTCAGCCCAAAGGTGATGCTCTTGCTAGTGTTCCACTGGGTTAGGATTGATTTGAACCAAAAACAAAAAACAAGGCCTTGTCTCCCTCTTTATTTAAAGCCCATTTCTGAAGCATGGCAGTGGGCCTCTAGGCCCTCTGAGGTAGGGTGTGTTTCTGGCGTGATGGTCCTGGGGGGCTCACAAGCCGCACTGGGATGAGAGCAATGCTGCACCTTCTCACTCTGCTACTTCCTCTTTCTCCTTGCTCCATGCTCAGGGCAATGGCCTCCTCAGGAATCTACAAGCTGGATGATGGGAAGCCTTACCTGAATAACTGCTTTCCAGCCAAAAATCTGCTTCGGAAGCCAGAGGAAGGTCAGGTGACTTCTCAAATTGGTACCTTTGCCTCCCCACCAGCACCTGCTTTAGAATGTCTCTCATATCCATTTCTTTTTCTCCAGCCCCTTAACTTCTGTTCCCTGCCCCACCCTATCCCATCCCTTCCAGTCCATTTTCCCCAGCAGCCTCAGGAAGCCTTCTAAAGTGCATGTTTTGCCATTGTGTTCCCTTCTGTTCAGTAACTTCTCATTGCTGGCTCCTTCACCTGCTGTTCTGTCTTCAGAGTCCAACCTCCCATTATCCTTTGTACAGCCCCATTGCTTTATTTATGCCCTACTCCATAGTGCTCTCATTTCACATAGCTTTTTTTATTTGCCCAGAATGTTCCAGCCCTCATTCCAGTTATTCAAACTCTTCCCATTCCACAAAGCCCAGGTCTAGCTACTTTAGCCTCTGGGCCCACCCTCTCTGGTGAGCCACCTTCCTCTCTCAGTTTCCTATTTGATGATTAATTATATTCTGTCAAGCTCCTAAATAAAATGGCCTAAATTTGACTTTGCTAAGTAGTTTTTCAAACTTTTATCTAGTTAAAAAAAACTCCTCTGCAGCAGGAACTCCTCACAATACTGAGCAGAGCCATATGGGTGAAACATTGCCAAAGGAGCATGGGTTCACTGGATTGGATTTGTTGCTTTGAAAGAGTAGGCAAGGGAGAAGTACCCCTTGTTACACTATATAAAGTGACTTGCTGGCCACTCTGTGCATTGCATTTTGGAAGAATCACCTCCTCCAGTCTGTCCTCCCCACTTCTCTAGAGTGATTTCATTTTTCACAGAGACCTTCTCTGGCTACCTACCTGTTTAAAACCCTCCCATGGAGCTCTCAGTATGAACTCATTTCATACCCATATCCCCTTACACACACAGATGAACAAATAGAGAAGTAAATATAGTCATGTGTATCTGCATGTGTTAGTATACGTGTGTATATTTCCTAGTCAACTGAGAGCAATGATACCTGTCATGAAGAACATACTGGCACCTAGATCTTGGTTTCTAAGTACTATTCTCCAATGAAAGAAGCCAGGGCTCCTCAGAGAACAAGTTGTTTCTAGGGCTGGGGCAGAAAAAATACAAATTGAGCCTGGAACACCATGTGATGTCAGAAAGTAAAGTAAGTGCTCAGAAAAGTGATGGGTGCATGTTAAAAGGCCATAAGAGCCAAGCTGAAGGAGCTCCCAATAGCCAAAGCTGGGACAATCTGAGCAATAAAATAGATAAAGGTAGATTTGGGTTATAAACCATTGAATAAATATCCATGAGCCCATAATTTTATACATATATACACATACATATATATATAATTATTACAGACATACACACATACACATACATATACACATTACATATTTAAAGGAATTGACATAAAATGATGGGCTGGCAAATCTGAAATCCATAGGGCAGGCAGGCTGAAAACTTTGGGAAGAGCTGATGCTGCAATCTTAAGGCAAAATTATTTTTCCTCTGGGAAACCTCAGCTTTTGCTTTTAAGTTCTTTCAGCTGATTGGATGAGGCCTGTGCACATTATCAAGGTTGGTCTCCTTTACTTAAAGTCAACTGATTGTAGATGGTAGCACATCTACAAAATACCTTCACAGCAACACCTAGATTAGTATTTGAATAACTCCTTACCATACCTTAGCCACGTTGATATAAAATTAACCATCACAGATGCTAGAATTAGTGGGTCAAAAAGTTTGATGAGAAACAGATATTCGCAGCCTCAAGCTATCTTTAGCTTTGTATTAATTACAAAGGGAAAAACAGTAACTTCTCAGTAGAGAAACTAGGTCGACACTACCTTATCCAAGTGATCAACATTAACACCAGCAGTAATAAGACATATTAACATCACATCCCCTCTGTTCTGATGTGCTGACAAAGGCACAACTTCACTTCTGTGGTAGTTTTGCCAAAGTGCAAAGCCTTAGTCTAATTATGGGAAAGCATCAAACAAATTCAAATTGAAGGACATTTCACAAAATAATTGACTGGTATTCTTCAAAAGTGTCAAGATCACTCAAGGAGAAAGAAAGACGGAAGAGCTGTCACAGATTGGGGGAGACTAAGGAGACATGACAACTAAATGAAACATGAGATTCTAGATTGGATCCTGGAACAGAAAGAGGACATTAGTGAGAAAACTGGCAAAAGTCAAAGAAGGGCTGTAGATTAGTTACTAATATTATACCAGTGTTAATTTCTTGGTTTCAGTCATTGTATTATGATTACATAAGACATTAGGGAAACTGGATGAAAGCTGTACAGGAACTCTGTACTATTTTTACAACTTTTCTGGAAGTCTAAAATTATCTCAAAATGAAAAATTATGACGGGGAAAAAACCTTCCCATGGATATTATTTCTGCCATGCCTATCCCATTATAACCCAAGCTCCTTATTCTTGTCCTCAAGACATTTTCTTATCTGATTCTGCTGCCCTCCCAGCCTCATCTTCCTTCCCCCATGTTCATCCCCTACACACTCTGGGCCTTCCTTCCCGGCTGTGTTGGGGGTTTTGGCACCAACTCGGATTGGAGTCTCCAGGAGTAAGGGCTATTGGGATATAGGACAAAGGTGCATGCTCCAGATGGGGACAGCTTTGGGAAATTGGGTACCTGGACTGTCAGACCCAGAGTGGGAATGGGAACTGGCTCACACTAGACTTAGGGCAGGATCTGCATTCAAGAGGCAGGATTGGAAGCATTGGTCAGGTGAGCCAGGGCAAGCCCCCTAGTTAGGCTGGGAGCCAGCGGTCGGAAGCACCAAGCTGGTTTCCATAGCTCTGTGCTGTTCTGCATCGTCCCAATCTTTTATACGTCTGGGGACTTGTGCTCTTCCCTCTGCCCAAGCTGCCTGGTTTTTTCATCTCCACCTAGTCAGCTTTCAACTTACTAGATGTAGCTCATGCCCTAGGCTGGTAGCTCCCTTCTCTGGGTTTCCATAGCACCCCTTATATTTTTTAGTTCCTTCGAGTTAGGGCATCTATCTTACTCATCTCCATAGCCCCAGCTCCCAGTATAAAGCAAATGTTCAGGAAAAGTCTGAATGGATGATTGTGGGCTGGGGCTGGGGCTCATGGTTCATTCAGCAACACTCGCAAGGTGGTAAGCTCATCGCAGGCCTTGGGAATACTGACATGAATGAGTCTACTCAGTGGACCTGCCACTCTAGAGGGCAAGCAAGACAGTAAACAAGTGAACAAATAAAATAATTACAGATTGCCATGAAATGGTAAAAAAACTGTTGATGAAGAGAACAGATTCTAAAACGTTGTCATGATTTTATTGAGTTTGCTAGTGAATCTCATGTTCTTTTTTATATACATTTTTAGTTCTTTCTGCGGTGAACTTGTGTTACTGGTTTTTAAAAAAAATGACAACTATCCTATCATTTTCTTATCCTTAGCCTCTGAAGCAATCTTTCCCCAATAATGATGGGATCCTGGATAAGGTCTAGGAAGATGGAGTCCGTTGAGCTGATATCATTCATTGAACTTTACCCAAGAGATGACAAATGGGGTAGGAACTAGCTGGCACAAGAAAGAAGGATCAGCTCTGCTGAGTGGAATCAGTAAAGGTTTTACAGAACAGGAAATTCCTGATCTGGGGTATTGAAGAACGATTAGAGTTTAGGGCAAAATGTGGAGGAAGGAATTAGGCAAATCATTTCACCTCTTTGAGTCTTAGCCTTTTCATCTGTGAAATGGATTTGGGGGCCAATCAATTGAGATAGTTATGTAGACTTCTCTCTACCCCCTGTCACCAGCAGCAGCACAGTATCTGATACATATTAGGTAATGAGAAGCCTTTTTTGTTTTAGTATTACAAATAAATAATCTGTGAGTACACTAGCTGTGGCTTTGAAAGAGTTTGCTCCTCACTGTTCTGATCTCAGCAGGCAGAGGACACTGGTTAGTGGCTCGGAAGTGTAACTTCAAGAAGAAGCCCAAGAGTGTAGCTGAGGCACCAGAAGAGCCTCAAAAGAGCCAGATCCCTTCTGAGGTCAGAGGGAAGAAAAAGTCTCAATGGAAAAACCAAGTGGACATTCCTGGACACGTGCTGGACCAGGATTTTCTGGTGAGAGTAAATGCATCCTGGAATGGCTGGCAATATCAGCTGACGGCTGTCCTGGCTGCTCTACTCTGGTACAACTACCCCCACCCCACCCCAAAGTATTACAGGGGAAAACTGAGTACAGCCAGGGTGATGAAGGGGCCCAAAGCTTTCTTTATGTGTAAAGCTTTCTTTATATCCACCTTGTGAGGTAGATATTATCATCCCTATTATGTTGTCTCCATTGTATAGATAGGAAAACTGAGGCCCCAGGAGTTAGAAAGACTCAGGATTAGAACTACTCAGGACTAGAACCCTGGTCTGCTCACTCCAAAGCCTGTGCCTTTACATTATATCCGGTAAAAATTCTTAATTGAGTTGGGGAGACAAATAAGTAAATCGGGGAAAAGTAAATTGAAAATCCCATTCTAGCACCTAGCAGGGTATAGAGATTCCTGCTCTGCTCTGGGGAGATCTCTCTAGGAGCAGGGGGCATTGGGGAGCCCTACACTCCTCAATCTTTGTCCTATGGGTGTAGTGCCTGGCTGAAGGCCAGGAGGGATGACTGGATATCATCCAGTGCCTGGGGTAGGCTTTCCAAAGAGGGCTGGGGTGGCTGTGTTGGAGACCAGCCAGATAATTTCACATCTGCTCTGTGCAATACCTCAGTGGCTTTGCAAAGAAAGACACATTTTGTAAGCCAGTATTAATGTGTAGTCTCTTGCTCCCTACAAAGAACTCTCTGGCAGCCTAATTTGTTCTCAGGCTCTCTTATGGTTTCCAAGAGATGAGATTCTGCACAAATCAGATGTTGAAAGAGAGCTCTGAGGAAACAGCTGGTTGCATCTCACCTTAAGTGGTGAGGTGTAAGCTTTTTGCAGAGCCCTATGGGATTTCTCTCATTGGGGATAAGAAGGACTGAAACAACAGTCCTGAGAAGGGGCAGAAATGCTTCTTATTGTGGCCTTCTTTTCGCCTTTGTTTCCAGCAACGTACACAGTTCCACATTAATTGAGATGGCTTTTTATCCATGTTGCCACTTTGGATAGCAGAAGCAACAGGATGTTTTTTGGAGTAATGCGATACCTACCCACTATTAGCTCCACTCGAATGTTTCACTCGCACCTCATATTGACTTACTGCACCAATCCCATTACTCCAAGCCCAATACTCTTCTCTAGTGTTTACTCTGTGGTTTCTATAATGGCACTGTTACCTACCCAGTTACCATGCCAGCAAGCTGGGGTTATCCTTGACACTTGCCTCTCTCTCACCGCCCCCATTCCCCATTGCCAAGCCCTGGCACTTTTATTTAATAGTTGTCAAATCTGTATTCTTCTCCTCATCTCCACTGCCACCACCTTCATCAGGGCCACCATCTTCTTTTATTGGACTAATTCAGTAACTTCCTAACCAGTTTGAACCAACTAGGAACTTTTATTTCACATAAAAACAACCCAGAGGCATTGTTATTCCACAGTAAGTTAATAACTGGCTTAATGACATCATCCTAGGTCCAGGTTCCTCTGTTTTTTCTGCTCTTATAGCTTCAGCATGTTAACTTGTTCTCTTGGGCTCAATGCCTTCATGATCCCACAATGGCTGCAGCAACTCCGGGCATCACATATAAAGGTTAACATCCAGAGGCGGAAAAGGGATTGTCTGTCACTTCCTTAGGTCTTTTTTTTTTAAAGTAAGAAAAAGCTTCCCACAGCTGGCCTCTCACCCCCAGCAGCCAGTATTTCACTGGTCAGACCTAGATCACATGTCCCAGCGGTCTTTGGGTGGGGGACTGTGAACTCCATGACTGTATTTGAGAAGTCAGGATTTATCCCTTAGAGCTAGAGCTTAAGGACTTATCCACTCAGAGAAATGTGAATAACACTGGGGTTCTTTAAGAAGGAATAAGTAGAGAGGTAGCTCTAGGGAAGGTAATTAATAATGTCTCTCCCCCTCCACTCCTGCCTTCTCCTCCTTTCTGTGTTTATCAGACATAGCAATCAGCCCCCTGCCAAAAAACCTCTCACAGCTTTCCGCTGACTGTAGGATAAAATCCACACTCCTTTACAGAGCCGACACGGATCCACATGATCTAGTGACTGCCTCCCTAGCAGTATCTTGTTTTCCATCCTCTCAGAAGCACTTTGCTTTTCCCCATCTCGATAGTTTTCACAGCCCCTGACACCCACTTTTATGGGGCCAACTCCTACTTAGCTCTTTGGTATCAGTTGAAATATTACTTCCTCCAGTAAACATGGTCTCACTTCCAGTCTGAGATTAGGGCCTCTCGTATTGTTTCCCTTAGCATCTTGAATTTCTCATTTAAAATATTTATCACATTATAAAAAGTTGCTTGCTACTTGGCTCCCATTCACTTGAAAGTTGTATGAAGACATTGAATATTTCTGTTTTCATTATCTTCTTAATGCCTAGTTCCATGTCTAACCATAAAAGACATAATAAGTAAATGATGAACAGAAAAAAGGAATGATGCTGAGTTAAACAGAAATAGAAGCTCCAAAGCTGAAATTTTCTTCCAACTTTTTAGTTATGAGGGGCAACATATGGTAGTCAAAAGAGCACAGAGTTTAGTGATTACAGATTTGGATTCAAATCATAGATCTCTCACTAGCTATAGGACCTTAGGCAAGGCATTTTATCTCTCAGCCTTATTTTTCTCATTTAAAAGGGAAATAATAATAGCTAGGATTAGAAGAAAGTTTGTTGATAATATTTAGCATAGTGCATGGCCCAACATAGTGCTTAGTAAATATTTAGTGAGTGAATGGATTAGTGAATGAATAAACAGATTATGACAAATGTATGATATTGGTAAAGCCCCAGAAATACAGATTTTTTGAAGAGCCAGGTAGAGGAACTGGGGCCAAAAAGACAGAGAAGGAAAAGAGAAGAAGGAATCCTCCTAAGAACCCCATAGCCTGGCTGATGTGACTCAGTGGTTGAGCGCCAACCCATGAACCAGAGGTCTTGGTTCAATTCCCAGTCAGGGCACATGCCCAGGGTTGCTGGCTCTATCCCCAGTAGGGGGCGTGCAGGGGGCAGCTGATCAATGATTTCATCATTGATGTTTCTCTCTCTCCCTCTCCCTTCCTCTCTCTGAAATCAATAAAAACATATTTTTATTTAAAAAAAGAGCCCTATAAAGTCAATGTTACTATCCCCATCTTACAGATGGGAAACTGAGATGTGGAAGAGCTGAGATAGCAGCTCACTTCTGAATAACTTCAAAGCCCATGTTCTTTCCACTGTACCGGGCTGCCTTCCTCAACAGGGAGTAATTTGTTGTTCTGGCCAATTATATAAACTTTGTTGGGGCTTTGGGGGTTAACTCTCTTTACTGTGTTCCATCCAGCTGAAGCACCACTGTGTGAGGGAGCCGTCAGAACTGTGCACCATTAACGTGAGCGGCCTGAAGTTCTCGAAGGTGAGGTCAGCCAGCAGAAATGTAATTGGGGTGAGCCAGACTTGAGGTGGCTCCTGGCTATTTGTCCATTGGACCCCCAGAGTCCCTGCAGAATGGGAATCTGGTCACAAGGGAAGGGGAGGGTCAGACAAGGACTCATAGGGTGGAAACATTAAGACACAATCTTTTGCTTTAAATTTGGTATTATCATTGGTCCATGTGAGGTGAATTAAAAGAAACAGCCTTGCAGAAGTGGGTTTGAATTGGCCATATAATTTTGTTGGAGTATGATTCATTGTGTACATAGTTCCCATCAAAAGAGCCTACAGGAGAAATTTTTGTCAGGTTTCAGTGCTGGGAGGCTGGTTTGTTCTTAACCTATAGATACTGTGACTCAGGTAATGAGTCAGGTTTCTTTCTTTGCATTGGCTTATTGGTACCTCAGAGCCAAATGTGTGGCCTACCATTAGCCAGTGTATATACAGGATATTATGGCACATATTTTTTATTGTAGGCCTTCCATGGCATATGAAGATAAATTGCTAATATAATACTATACAGCAATTAAAGTGAATGAACTAGAGTTACATGTAGCAACACAAGTAAATCTCTAAAACATAGTATTGAGGAAGAAAGGCAGGTTGCAAAATACCTACAGTATGATCGCAGTTAATACAGTTTTAAAAACATGGAAACAATACTATATATGGTTTATGAATACACATATATGTAATAAAGTGTGGGAACGATAATCACCAATTGAGGACAGCTGTCATCTGTGGGAGAGAGGGAGAAGAATGCGATTGGGAGGGATATATGGGGATGGGCAACTCTGAAATGTTTTTCTTTAAAGAAATTTCAAGCAAAGACAGCCAAATATTCAGATTTTTTAAAGCTGTATAGTGGTTATATGGGTATTCAGGGTACCATTCACTATCTTTTTTTAACATTCTTTTGAAATTCCTTTCCACAGGCTAAGGAAAAGGACTTCAAGCATTTTAATTCCGTGATTTACATCAATGCCTCAGAAAACCTGCTGCCTCTAGGTGAGCTTTTTCTTCCTGAAAACTGTCTCTGCCTCTTGGCTGGCACGTCTATTAGTCTGTCTGTGACTGGCCACGCATCTCTTTTTCGGAGTTCAGTAAGCTGGGCTCTGGAGAACACACACCAGGATTGTAGCTCAGAGCGGGCACTACCTCCTTAGAACATTTCTCTGTAAGCTGATGCTTCTCTATCTGTAAATGGAGATTATTTCCTTCCTTTCTTCCTCCCAAAGGCAAGATGCCTGGTAGGTTCAGACGATGGGTATATAAAGATGTTTTTGAGCCAGTAAGAGCTCCTATTTGGAGCATAAAGCCTTCTTGTTTATTCAGCAAATCTACAGCGACCCCTGCTGGTTGTCGGGACTATGTGAATGCTTGGCTTTTAGAAATGAAAGCATCCAGGTTCTTTTCTGGTGAGTCTTGGTTTGGTGGGAGAGATGGGTTCAGACACGTTATAGGAGAATATAGTAAGTGCAATGATAGAGGGAATCACAAGATGTGATGCTAGAAAATAAGCAGGACATCAACCGGGCCAGAGTGTCAGGAGAAACTTCTGAGAAGAGGAGCACAAGACTCGGGAATTAGAAGTTAAGGAGGCACTTCAGGTTGACAGAGCAGATGCCAGACAGCAGTGCCTGATCAGGGTACCTGAAGAAGCTTTGTATGTTTGCAAGGGATGCAGGCAGTAGAAAATGGATACTAGAAAGCTTGGTCGGGACTAGATTATCAAGGTCCCTCAGTGACTTGGACTTAATCCTGCAGGCAAAGAGAGCCTTGAACAGCTTTTAAATAGAGAGACTCAGTGGTAGCTATGAGGAGGGTGGATTATAAAAAAAGGTGGAGACCAGGAAACCTGGAAGAATGATTTCATTTTTCCCGGGAAGGGGAGGCCATGGCAATGGAGGTGAAAAGGGTTAAGAGAGAGATTTTCAGGAGGAAGTAGAGATAACAGGACTTGGTAACTAGTGGCCATATTGAGAGAAGGAAGAACCAAGGGGATTCACTAAGACAGAGAACTAGAGGAGAGGCAGGTTCAGGGAGAAACAGGATGAGTTCAGTCTGAGCATGTTGAATTTGAGGGGTATTTTTAAAGAAGCATGTGATGAAGTTCCTGCCCTTAAGGAAACTATGGTCTGTGAGGAACATGGGCTTGAAATACAAAGGCCAATCGGCATATGAAAAGATGCTCAACTTCACTAATAATTAAAACAGCATCAAAATACTATTTTCTACCTATCAAATACTGGCAAAAAAAATGAGGACTGATGGCAATTGGCATTGGTAGGGAAACAGATATTCTTGTACTCAACTAGCAGAAGTGTAATAAATTGGTGTAACATCTTTGGAAGGCAATTTGACAGTGTCTCTTAAATAGTCATTGCTTTTAATCTGCTTGCTCCACTTCCAGGAATTTATTCTACAGAAACACACTCGTACGAGGATGTTCATTGGAAACATCCTGAAATATCTACTGTTTTTTTAAGGCTTAACTGAACATTCTGACTTACAAGACCACCATAGGCTACACCTGACACCAGGTTCACTTAGAAGGCTCTAAGTAATTCCACACAGTATGCTAGCCACACAGCATCAGCATTTCCTATTCAGTGAAGTCCTCATAGCATTTTGTGCAACAGTCCATTTAAGCATCCATTAGCCATTCTCTGTGGCCCCCAGCTCAGGTCCAAGGCAATGAGACTCTCATTGGGTGGATGCAGGAGCCACTCTGGCTTAGAAATGTCATTCCCTATTGGAACAATTGGCCATTTAACACCATTTAACACTCCATAGACATAGCTCCTAGAGTTCCTGCAAAGGACATGTCCAGTGATAGTAGTCACCACACACAGGGAAGCCCAACGTTTAGTCCCTCCTTCTGATGTTTATTGTTCGTTTATAGTTTCTCCTAGTCAGATGTGATTTTTACCACAGCAATATTGCCTAGTAACATAATTATACCATTTGTTTCAGGTTACCAGGGGGATGGGCTAGAAAGTTAACCCAAGGTCCAGCTGTCATGAAGAAGGGGAAAGTGTTTTTACCTTTTATCCAGATAGCCTAAAAGCTATCAAGAGGGGAATGGTTAAATAAACTAGGGTATGTCTATACTGTAGAAATAATTCAGACATTATGCAGACCTATATGTTTTGACATGGAATAATCCTTAAGTCATATTGTTAAGGGAAAAAAGCATGTCACAGTATAATGAAAATGGTATGATTCCATTTCTGTAAAAAGAAGTGTGTGTATTTTAGTACACACATGAGAAAAAGTCTGGAGTATATACGTAATACGTTAGTTATCTCTGGGTATTGAGATTAAAGGGAACTATTATCTTTCTGTGCTTTATTTGTTTTTGTTTTTTACTTTTTTAGTGGACATGTTTTACTTTTATAACCAGAAATTAATTTTTTAATATTTTGTTACAATTTTTTTAATGGGCTTGGAGTTAGACAGACTTAGATTCAGTTTTTGGCCCTTCACTTACTGGAAATTCTGTTTTAGCAAATCATTTAGTCTAGCTGAGCCTTCGGATTTCTCAGCAGTAGCATGAACTAGTAATCCCTGCTTTTCGGACTGTTAGAGATTTAGAGGTCATGCATGCAAAGTACCCTACACAGTGCCTGGCCCAACCCAGTGGGAACCCAGTAAATGACCACTATTAATATCTTTCTCTTAAGTCCTTCACAAGCTGAAGATTCTTTCTCCTCCCCCTATAGAGGCGTTTCACACATTTCCAGCCTTAAGGGAACTGGAACTAGCATTTAACTGCATCAAAACAGTCTGCGTGAAACATGAAGACTTTAATTTCTTGGAAGTAAGTTGGAGGTAGGGAGTTTTTGGTGTCCACCTGTTTCCCTGTAAGGAATGGGTGTAGAGGTCTCTCTCCACTGCTTATAACTGTTGGGAAGGGGCTTTCTGGGCCTTTGCAGCCAGACCCTTGCTTCAGGGCAGTCCCCTGGGGAGGGCGGTGGGGTTGGTGGTAGCGATGGGGGTAATGGTGGTGGTGGTGGCAGCAGTGGCAAATAGATGAGAATATATTATTCCTATGGCCATGGTGCATTGTCCTGGAAAATAAATGCCAAAGGTCATATCCAAAGGAGTCTATGCAAAAAAGTGAGTTTAAACAGAGTATTAAAGGAAGGAGAGCTTGATGGGCATCCTGGATCCAATGGGGGTTGAGGAGCCATGAAGTTAAGGGCTAGTTACAGCACATTGGACCAGCTGAACCAGAAGCATATGGACTGATTCCAGAAACCCATCCTGGTCTGAGTGAGCCAGATTGATTCCATCAGGCTTAGATAAGGCCAGCTATAGGCCTAGTCCTTAGGCCCAGAGGTGAGTGTGAAACAAAATAGGACTCCTATGAGTTCTATAGCAGATGCTTGACATCTGAACATCCACAGCTGTTCTCTAAACCCAGATTCAAAAATACAAAAAAATTAGCTTTCATTCTTGGCTTTTTCCTAAATTAAATTTCCCGTAGTCACGCATTTTCTATGCATGTTCTTGTACTCAAGTTAATCACCTCTTCAACTTTCATGAAAACTGTAGTGCCACTTTTCACAAAGAAACAGAGCTTTTGTCCCTACCTGAGAGTCAGTGTGTACTTGGAGAGTAGAGGACAACACAGCTGGAGTGCTGTATACAGCTGGGCATCTGGCCAGGCTCACTCACCAAATACTGGACTCTTCCCCACACATTGGCCTTATAGCAGAAGTGTTTCCAATTCAAACCCCAGCAAAACATCTGTATGTCATGAGCCTTGTGGTTGACCCCAGAGAGTTGGTAACTTTAATTATTTAATCTACAAACATCAGTGGTCAGCTATTCTTCACAAAAGCCCCACTTAATCTGAGGCAGAGGTGGGGAGGGAGAGAGACCTTCCACAGAGTGAATTTTTTAGAAAGTTGATGTCCTTTATATGCCAAAGTTCTTTAAAGTTTTAACTGTTTGGGATGGAAATCCTCCTAAAATGGATTATACAGTTATATCCTTGTATTTGTAAAGCATGCTACACTGAATGTAATGGTACCTTCTCTCCGTATTTTCAGGTTATATTGAAAATAACAGGGATTTCTATGATTTGGAACAGGAATGGTCCTCAGACTTGTCCAGGAAGCATAGCTCCTGAAAGTCCAATAAAACAGAGAGAGTAAATTTACAACGACTGATGCAATTTTGTGCTATGTTAAAAACATCTTATACTAGATATTAGTATACATAGTGGGAAACAGGTTCCAGATGCTCTAGAAATACAGGGAGCCATCACCCTGATCTACAGGCCTGGGAACTTCTTATAAACTCTCATTTATTCATTATTTTACTTTTTTAAATGTACTTTTTGAGCTCCTTCATGTCATGCATGGTGCCAGGCATCTTGTCTTCCTTATACCTACTATTTCAAACCCCTGTTTCACATGCCAGTGACCATGGGGATGGGGACATGACTATAGGCTCTGATCCCACAGCTGACTAGCTTAGATCTACAGGTTAATCATGATTGACTTCTTGGAGGCCCTACTTTATAGTTTGATAATTTCTGGTGGATAGTATTTATCCAGCCTTACCCAAGGGAATTTATTTACGTAAGAGAGCAGACCAAATTCATAATGCAGAATATAAATGAGAAGACCAATTCTCTTGGCCAGTCATTTGATTTCATCTCTCTGTGATTTGCAAGGGCTCTGAAAGAGAAAGAATAAACCTGTCAAATGTCCTGAATTTGCAGCTCATAGTAATGAATATTTTGATGTGTGATAAAATTTGATGTGACTCAGCAGATGTAGTACCCAGGTTAGGAATCTCCTGCCCTTGTTTACCAGAAAGGCTGCCACCCAGAGTAGAATTCTTCAGGAGTCAATCTAGAAAAACTTAACTTTGCCATGATTTGAGTGAGCCAGACTGGTTTACTCAACCAGGTCTGAAAGGGTCAGCTACAGCCTTGCCCTGAGAGTTGGGAGAACTTATTTCCAGTCTTTGTCCTGCCACTACTTTGGCAAACCTCCTTGGCCAAATAAGTTATTCTCTCTGAGACTTAAGTTTCCCCCTCTGTAAATTATGGGTCAGCTGTGAAATTCTGTGACCTGTGATACCAAAATTATTCATTTCTTTGAGCTGTCCTTAATTCTATGGAAAGAACATTTGGACCCAACACTAAATAGCTAAAGCAGCTAGGACAAGGGTCAGCAAACTTTTTCTGTAAGAAGCCAGACAGTAAATATTTTAGGCTTTGTGGTCCATATGGTCATACCTAGTCAACTCTGCTGTTGTAGAAGGAAAGCAACCATAGACAACATGGAAACAAATGAGCAGGTCTGTGTTCCACTATGTTATGAGGCTGACATTTGAATTTCACATAATTTTCACACAATAGTACTCTTCTTTTGATTTCTTTCAACCACTTAAAAATACATATAAAAATTACTCTTAGCTCACAGGCCAAACAAAACAGGCAGCAGGTTAGATTTGACTCACAGGCCAGCTCCTGAGCTAGAACACTGGCGAAACAGCTCGGTGTGGTTGGAATGGAGAGTGAGGTACAGCAGAGTGTGGATGGGTGAGCCGGGAGAGGTAACAAGAGAAACTGTGGAGAACCTTGGGAGTCTTGCTAAGGAGTTTGAACCTTATCTTATGGGTAACAGGGATCCATTGAAGGATTTGGAACTGAGGAGTAATAGGATGAGAACTATATTGTAGAAAACCCACTATGGCTGCTGTATGAAAAATGGGCTGAAGGGAACAAGTATGAGAGATACTAAGGAGGTCCAGTCCACTGTCTGTTGACTACCTGCATATGGATATGAAGGAGAGAATTTTCCCCGCCTCTACCTGTGCTTATCCGACTTAGCTTTCTAGGTATTCCTCCTCGAAGGCTTGCTTCTCTGCCAAGTGAGACTGCCCCTTTGTGTGAACTCTCAAAATTTGGAATTTGCTGCTGGCGGCATGAACTTGGCACTCATTAGGTGCTTGGCACCTGTTATGGTCTGTCCAGTCTTATCAAGCTCTCTCTTAATAACGTGGACTCTAATTATAGGCTGACCATTTATAGTTATCAGACCAAGCAAGGCTGCCTCCTGCCTCCTGGCTTCTATGCATGCCACTTGCTGCATTGCATGTTTTTTTGCTCTTAACAATTTGGTGAATACCGACTAGTCTCTGAGAATGGCTCAGGTGTCACCTGCCCTGTGAAGCTTGTCTGGACCCCTGGTAGAGCGGACCATTTGTTCCTTTGTGCCTCTAGTGTCTGTGCTCAGACATCCCTCCCAGCAGCATTGCTACTTGATGCACATATGTGTATCTAGCTGCCCGCCTAGGCAGTGAACTTGCAGAGGGCAGGAACTGGTTCAGAGTAAACCTTCAGTATAGGGGCCTTGAATGGAGGCATGGTGATGATGATGACAGTCAACATCAACTAAGCATTCCCTTGTACTAGACTCCATGGTAAAAGCTTTACCTATATAATTCCTCATAAGAGTCCATTAGTATTTCCACTTCACAGATAAGGAAGCTCAGGTTAGGTGATTTGCCCAAGATCACACAGTTAGCCAGGACTTAAATCCACTTCTACAGAGCCCATCAATTAGTTACTATGGTGGAGTCAGATCAAACCAGCCCTCCTGCAGTCAGTTGTATTTGTCTGCTGGACCATATAATACTTAAGTGGCTGACCAAAGACCTTGTTCCTGCACCAGCTGGATAATATGCTGAAACTGTCCCCATTCAACAGGCTCCAATGAGTGTGTATAGATGGAGGGGAAGGGAAGGGAGCAGGCTTGTACATAAGAGCTAAAGTGAGTGTTTAGAGAGGCTCAGAAGAGAGAAAACAAAGACTGGGCTGATATCATTTATTCCAGTTGCCTTTGTTGAGAGAAACTGTTTCCTGACTGTCACCCTGACCCCAGTCAACTATCTCATTCATCTGGGTGGCCAGTTATAAGGTGGTTAATGATGAGATGAGAAGTGGGGTTGTTATCCTCACAAGCCAGTTCATTTCAGCGGATACAGTGGATGGCCCTTGACCTCAGAGAGTTTGTGGGCTAGTCCACCACTGTTTGCCAGGACCCGGCTAGGCACATCCATGTATCAATATCCTTATTCCTTAGACATGTACCCAGCTATTGTAGGTACCTGGCCTACTGTGAGGAAGACCCCCAGAGCAGTTGAGATAAAGCAGTCCAAGTCAGAGGGGGGAGAGAGTCTATCTAGTCAGAGAATCAGGAACGGTTCTGTAAGGAGGCAGCTTCTCGGCTGCTCTTTTCGGCCTTAGATTGAAACACATGGAGAAGGACATCCTGGGTGAGTGAAAAGCTCCAGCAAAGCTCTCTAGGTGGGGTGAGGCAAGGAAGCAGGAGTGCTTTGACCAGCACCAAAGGATGAACAAAGGTTTGCAGTGGCAGCTTAGGCTGACAAACAGGTTGGGAACTGACTCTAGTAGACCTGAAATGTTAATCCAGAGAATCAGGATTATTTTAGCTTGTGGGTAATGGCCTCCCCCAGAAGGTAAAAATAATAAAAGGAGCTAGTTCCCACCTCATGTATGAAAATCATTGTCATGCATAGTGCTTATCTTCCCCCTTTTTGCACCGTAGTTCCTGGACCTTTCCTTCAACAACCTGATTCCAGAGGCCATCTGTGATCTAGGGATTCTGCCACACCTCCGTGTCCTGCTCCTCACAGGCAATGGGCTCACGTCCCTGCCACCAAATTTGGCTGTCACAGAGCAGTAAGTTCTACAGCTGAGACTCCATCCCATGTGTTCCCTCTTGAACCTTCGTCTGGATACAAGTATCCAAGGAAGTGGTCAAAAGCAGTTCAGGAGTGTGATAAAGACAGGCTGTGAGTGCTCAAAGCAGGGATAATGCCATCTACTAAAGCTCCCAGTAAAGGCAACTGTGGGAGCAGGTCCCTGAAAGATAGGGTGTCCCCCACTCCTCTGTGCATTTAGGAGAGACACAGGTGTCTGGCAAGTTGCTCTACCTACCTCTGATTGGTCACCGGTAAATTGTGGATATTGCTCTTGCCAGACTCTTTTTCATGAACCCTCTAAATAAGCTCTGCATATTCCCATCCCACACATTTGCTGAGGCCATGACTTCAGGCCAGAATGTACTGGTTCTTCCTCTCTTGATAATAATAACACATATGTAGTGCTTATTATGTGCCAAACACTGTTCCCACACTTAACACATATTAACTCATTTAATCCTCACAACAACCCTGTGAGGTAGGTGTCCCTTTATTAGCCCCATTTTATAGACAAGGAAATTGAAGCACAGCTAGGTTAAATAACTCACCCCGAGTTACAAAACTAGTAAGTGGCAGAGCCAGGATTTGAACCAAGTCAATATGACTCCAGAGACCACGCTTTATGGCCATTACATTATCTTCTTATGTAGACTCTGTGTATATTCCAAGGACTAGCTCAGACCCTCCTCCTTTCCCTGTCAGAAGCCTCCCCATCTTAACCATTTTTAAGTATACAATGGCATTAAGTACATTCAAATTGTCCTGCAACCACCACCACCATCCCCCTACAGAACTCTTTCCTCTTGCAAACATTCCATTAGCTTTGACTCCTGAGCCTGACACTTCTGAGAAGAATGCCAGGTAATCCCCGGTTCCAGTCACATTCCTTTCTGCCCTCGAGGTGTAACAGCAAACATACCTACTTCCGATCATCAGTGTCAGTCAACCAGCCAAAATAGTAAGCCCTCTTTTCCTGACAATTGGTTCTGTGGAACAAAGAACCCAAATGGCCAGTAGCAAACTCAACCTCCAGTTAAGTGGAACTATCTTGTGCCCCCTGTGAAAGGGTCTCTCCTCGGGAAACTAAGGCTCTGACTCAGAGAGCTCGGATGGCAGGATGAGAAGAAAACTGCTGCAAGCGGCCGTTAGTAGGAGGAGCCGCTCTGTTTCCATTCATCCCTACAGCCTTCGAGCTGGCTGCGAGGCTGTCTCAGCCTCTCTGCCACTTTTGGGGTCAGCACACAGCCCTAGTGGAAAAGTGGCCTCAAATACTGCATGAACCCCTTTGCATCTCTCCTTCCAAATATTGATCCCCTGCCCAATTTTTTACAGGTGGTTAATTCCCAGATGCCTTAAAGAAGATTGTGTATATATATA